TTTCTAAGTTTAAACATATCGAAATGTTTCAATGTATTTTAGCATTTTAATTATTAAAAAGCATTTAATTTATTTCCTAATGTAGCCTACATATTTAAATGTAAACTTGTAAATAGTAGAAAGGTAGGGAGGTCTTGTAAACAGGTATTAAAGATCGTAGACATAAGTCCGTTTTTTTCTTACAGCGAGAGTTGTCGTTTTCCACAATACAACCAACACACTTTTTTTTTTTTCATAATTTTAACAACAGTGGTGAGGATGTTGTGTGGTTAGCCGTACCTTCTTTAAATGTGAAAGCACGGTTGAAAGTTTTGTTTCGCCGTGCCTTCATTGAATATGGTAGCACTTTAGAAAGCCTTGTTTCAATAATAAAAAACCAAACTCTAATCCAAACGCTTACGTTAACTTTTTGACAACGTCATGGATTTAAATCCGGGGTACACCTATAGGAAAAGAAAAAATTCACAGATTATTTCCAGCTCTGTGTTTAAACACATTGAACACATATCAACGTGGTGTGTTGCATTCGCTCTGATAATCAGGAAATTTCAGGGGAGGTAATCGAAAAGAAAATAGACGAAACGTAGTTGAGCCAAGGGCCATGTTAATGCCTGCTATATTATTCTAATTGAGATATGCATTTTTAAAAGGCGCTGAAATCTTTGCTCGCATTTTTTTTTTGCTTATTAGACTTCTTTTTTACATTAAAAAAAAACTGACGTCATGTTTTTTCTTTCCTTTCCTTGTAATGTTTCGTTGTTAAAATTTAAAAAAAAAAAAAAAAATAAATAAATAAAATGATTTAAAATGTACATGAAGGATGGGGGTCGTTAGTTCGGGCAGTCGAGTTTAGGTTTGATGACGTCATGTTGCTTGATTGCCTGACGGCTAAACATTGGCCTGTGGTAAAGATAAACCATTTTTTTAACGTTGAGTTAAAAGGAACATTGTTAGAGAACCATGATAAACATGACATCTCAAATATTTAAAGGAATGAATTTCCTGTTTCAAATATTTAAAGAAATTGATTTTATGTTTTAATGAATTGTTTTTAGGGTGTCCGGTAAAACTAGGTGAATTGACAAAGGAGTGTTGAAATCTAGGCTATTGGCGAGGTTAGGTGGGGGCTATGGGTAAGGTTAGGTGGGGGCTATTGGGGAGGGTAGGTGGGGGCTATTGGCAGGGGCTATTGGTGAGGTAGGGGCTATTGGTGAGGTTAGGTACGGGCTATGAGTAAGGTTAGAGAAGAAAAAGTAGCTTAGATACAAGTACCCAGAAAATACACCACTATTTCCCAGCATACACCACATACATCCAGCATACATCACCATCTCCCAACTATAAACACCATCATCAACATACACCACCATCTTCCAACATACACCACCATCAAACAAACACCACCATCCTCCAACATACACCACCATCTCCCAACATACACCAATATACACCACCATTTTCCAACATACACCACCATCTCCCAACGTACACCAACATACACCACCATTTTCCAACAGACACCACCATCCAACATACACCACCATCTCCCAACGTACACCAACATACACCACCATCCAACATACACTACCATCTCTAACATACACCACCAATATACACCACCATCTTCCAACATACACTAACATACATCACCATCTTCCAACATACACCACCATCTTCCAACATACACCACCTTCTCCCCCTTACAACACCATCTCCCGCCACACACCACCATCTTCCACATATACACCAACATCCCCCCACACACCACCATCTCCCAACATACCACCATCTCCCCCCACACACCATTACCCCCCAACACACCACCACCACCCCCTCCCTTTACGCCTCACCACCCCACGCTAGAAGCACGAAACCAGGCAGGGACCATTATCTACACTCTATTTTACCCGACTATTGCCTGTCGTGTCTCACCTTAAAAATCAATTCTTAGAGTAATCTGGCACGCAATGCCTAGTCCACACAAGAAATAATTCACCATCTTTTTTTATTGTATTTAAATACATCATTACTATAGGCTCAATATATACTTAATGCTTTATTACCAATACTTCATTGCTTACAATTGATGTAATTGTCAACACTCTCTTCCCCCTGTCCCTCCTCTTTCTCTAAATTCTTACCTCCCTCCCTTAAACACTTTCCGGTTACCCGTTTTCCTCCCCCATCCCCCAATGTCCCCACTATTCCTCCTAATTCCCTCCTCCCTTACCGTTTCTTTCTTACCTATCCCTAAACTCTCACCGGTAACCCATCTTCCTCCCCATCCCCCTCTACCCCCCACCATGTCCCCACTTTTTCTCCTAATTCCCCCCTACCTTTATCTTTCTCTCTTACCTATCCTCAAACACTCTACTGTCACCCATCTTCCTCCCCATCCCCTCCGCCACCCTATTCCCTCCACCACCTATTCCCTCCACCACCCTATTCCCTCCACCACCCTATTCCCTCCACCACCCTATTCCTTCCACCACCCTATTCCCTCCACCACCCTATTCCCTCCACCACCCTATTCCCTCCACCACCCTATTCCCTCTAAAAATCCCTCCACCACCCTATTCCCTCCACCACCCTATTCCCTCCACCACCCTATTCCCTCCACCACCCTATTCCCTCCACCACCGTATTCCCTCCACCACCCTATTCCCTCCACCACCCTATTCCCTCCACCACCCTATTCCCTCCACCACCCTATTCCCTCCACCACCCTATTCCCTCCACCCCCCTACCCCTCCCCTCCCTCTCTCCCATGTTTCGCGTGGCCCAGCCAGTAATAAATAAACATTAGCTCTGCCCTTGTTGTCACTGATCCTCAGGCCAGAAATATGAAATCCGATTGGAGTGATCCCCCCTTTATACACCCTTACAAAGTAGGCACCAAACGAGGACACTGGCCTATGGAGAAGGTTGCTCCATTCAAAAGCTACGCGGAAAATATTAATTATAGCATGTTTTGGAAAGGACGCTACATTTGTCAAGTTATTCGCAAATTACGGTCGTTAACTTCTTAGTTATTAATTGTAAAATTGAAAAGGGTTTCCTGTTATACATATTTTTTGTCTACCAAAGAACAATCAGCAAGGCAGACGTTTGATTTTGGGTTGTCTCCCCTATATGGGCTAATAAGTAAACGTATATAAAACCGTAGTTTCTAGTATTATAGTTTTAAAAAATTTTTATATTGGTTACAGGATGTTTGATTCTAGGGGAAATAGTACTCGGCCTAGGCGATGGTTAAAAAGTACAATTATAAATAACTTTTTTTAATATATAAATATATAAATTTTTGAGCCCCCTGTTAGGTCCCCAATCTCTGCCCCATCCGCCACAGTACACTTTGGAGGATCGGTCAAACAGTTACGTGTCCTCTATTGGACTATCAAAGGGGAGCAACAAGTCACAGAATTCATTAAAACGTGAAGTTTTACCTATATTTTACCCTACAGTTTGTGTAATGGATTTGACTGTTAGCAGAAGAGCGGTGGACAGTGACTGTAAAATAAAGATAATCGTACCGCTGATACAATATTTTTTACAAACCAAATATTAAGGCGAAAATGCACAAAAATTAAATTCAAAATTTTGAAAAATATTAATTATGGTCAGCTGTGAGCCCCATAAACGGCCTACCTCCCCCTCTTCACGCAATGTGGAGTCTGGCGGCACTGTAGTTCCGCCCGTGAAAAGTGCCAATGTCACACAACGTGTCATTTATCCCGGCTAAATAATTTTAATAAAAAGATCATTACCGAGAAATCTATCTGTCGGACTTAAGCACTAACTAGCCTAAGGGGAAACAACTTTTAAAAATCGCTCCAATTTCTCCGCACTAAATTGTGTTTACACCGCCGCTCACCGATTAACCTCAAATGTTTCGATACCTGATGAACCTCACCTGGATCGATACCTGGTGAACCTCATCTGTATCAATACCTGATTCTTTGTCACCTGGTGAATGTCGATACAACTTCGTGACTTTTTCCTTCCGGCGTGATGCTGTCCCGGCAGGCACAATTTCGAAAATCATGTCAAACAAATCTGACAAGTGATTATCGTTCTTTGCTTTTAAAACATTCGAGTTATGTCCCATATATCTAAACTCAACGTTCCCCTGATACCCGCCATGACAATTTCCCCTGAACGCTACAATTATTCAAAATAACGGTTTGAATTTAATCCTGGGGAAACTTTAAAATCCCTTAAATATAATCTAAAATCCGATACAAATTTTTAAAAAGCACACGATGTTGTGATGTACTTCAGTCCGTAAAATAGTTAATTGTTTAATAACAAGTAAACGCTAGACCCCATTGGCTTGATAATTGGCTGTGACTTGACTTAATAAATTGTTTAATAATTATTTTTAATCCACACAAACAGTTCATAAAATTGTGCAATGGATATATAAACACTGTTTATTTTAATTTGATCTTACAATTTAGAATAGAAAAAAATCCAAAATGTAAATGATTAAATTAGTTGTATCTTCAACAGACAAACTAAATAAGAGGTTGCTGAGTTGATTTTGCCTGTAGCTTATGAAATAAATTCATATATGGGTCTTAGACACAAATAAGTTGAAGTTAAAAAACAATAACTCTTTAAACCTCTACCTACTTTTGGCATAGTTATATAACAATACTACAATAGCAGCTTGCTGGTCTGCTGAACACGTAACTCTCGATTACGAATCCGGGTTCAAGTCAGTAGACCGTCCCTGAGTCCACCCAACTCTGATGGGTACCTAACTCACGTTAGGGAAAATAAAGGCGGCTGGGCATAGTGCTGACCATACTATCTCTTCATATGCCGAGGTCATAAAAACAAGTGAACTATACTTCACTTCACTGCCCTATAAACCGTCAGGTTTGAAAAGGGAACTTTACTTTTTTTTTTTACAATAACAGCTTAGTGGACTATGTGTAAGCTAATCTGATAATCCGTGAAGATTAGGGATCAGCGGTTTAAACAACACCGTTGCCATGGACATTCACGCTGTGAATGAAACCCTACCACAAGAGACTTTCGTGGAGATTTTAAGCAAGGAACAAACGCAGGAGATTCTTCAGATCCTCATGCTGGGGATCACCCCTGCCATCTCGCTGTTGGGAATTGTGGGCAACACCTTCAGCATCCTCGTCCTGGCCAGGCAGGGCCTGCACAAGTGCTCCAACATCCTCCTCATCTCCCTCGCCGTCAGCGACATCACTTTCCTCATCGGCTTCAACAGCGTGCCCAAACTTATATACGAGATCGTGTCAGATGTTGAAGGTTTCCCGTACGTCCGCTCCGTGTCGTACTTCCTGTATGTGCTGTACCAAATCTTCCACATCATGGACTACGGGTCGGGCGGGGTTTCTCTCACCCTGCCCATGCTCATCACAGTAGAAAGACTGGTCGCTGTCTTTCTGCCTCTCCACTTCAAGCAGATCGTAACCCCATCACGAACATGGACAGCCGTGTGTTGTTTCACCGTGTTCTGGTATATCTTCTTCATACACATGTCTTTTTTCTTGACATTTGAATACGAAACCAAAACGGAATATAACATCTCTTTTGGTCTAATCAAACGATCCGCGTATCATTACGCTCACCTCGACATGGTAGCGATGCTGGAAGAATCCATGTCCTACGTTTACATGAGAATCCCTCCTGTCTTTACACTCGTCGGCTGTTTGGTCATCGGTGTAAGGATGAAGGTGGTCTCCGTCAAACGACAAGCGATGATGTCCAAAAACTCTAAAGAAGCTTCAAACAACCGGACAACCAAGATGTTGCTTGCCGTCTGCTCCGTGTACACCGTGGCATGCGGAATCTTATCTCTCCCCACCTACATCCCCCAGTACCTGTACTACACCATGACGAGTGACGCCCCCTCTAACCTGGGGAGGATCATGTACCAGGTCATCAACATTGCCCTGTGTATCAACAGCTCCTGTAACTTTGTCATTTATGTCGTCATGAACAAAACGTTCAGGGACACTTACAAATCTATTTTTATGAACAAAACATTCAGGGGCACATACAAATCTATTTTTATCTTTCAGGTCTTTTCTAAGACTAAAATAAAATAAACAGATATGTTGATATTTAGTACTCGTTTATTAATAAATTTCTTTTATCTGATTATTCAAATGTGCTTGCGTAATAAATGTCAGAAATACACTGTTAAATCTCTCACTTTTAGCCATACTGATCTTGATGCGCTAAAATTGTACTTCAAGTATGTTAGAATAGGACAACAGCAATGAGTAGATAGGTAAATATTTAACAAATTATGCTCTGTAGTTAGAATATATTTATATGCTTACTTCTATTATTATATACTAAAACACGTATATTTCTTTAAAAAAATACATACCTTTATTAGCTTAGAGTCAGGAATGTCAATTAGATGGTATATAAGTCAATGCAAAGTATCCGTGTAATTTTACATAATCTTTTTGAATTGAACACACACACACACACACATACATACACACACACACACTCACACATACATACATACACATACACACTCACAAATCGCACCCTGTCGGGCTGCCGGTGGACACGCCTGTTTCGATTAAATGAACGACTATAACACCCCAAGCTTGCCCACAAACGGAAAGATAGAAGTAAACATAGAGGACATAGTGGCTTCTAAAAATAATAATCAGTAAACAGTACGTTCAGTGTATAAAAATAAATAAAAGGCAGTATTTAAAATATCCGTGTTTTACTTACCATATTGCACTTTATCAATCAATGCTAATTATATTTTTTTTCCAACATAAAACAAAGTAGTAAAAAATATTCCTTTCCCCCGACGTAATGTTTTTATTTAAAAACCTAAACGCAATCAATAACGTAGAACATGATACAAAATTAAATGCAAACAGTGCTCACAGTATAATCAGGGCACCGGCGGAATCTCCTGATTCAACTTAAAAAACGACTAAAATACCCCATCTTATCCATAGTCTATAGCACAGTTTAAACCGAACGTAGGCGCCACAGCGCTCACGGGACGGTCCAAGGCGCCAAATAACAACCCAGTATTACGCACTATCCTAAGGTAAAACAAGATTCCCCCCCCCCTTGCCTTGTCTTAGTGACGCGCCATCCGGTTTGAAAAAATCTGGACCTAGCCATGTCACCTCTCGCCAGCACAGTTTATATTTGAGATACTCCGAGATTATACAACTACACATAAAAATCCTGACCCAACTAATCGAATTATTGGTTCAAAATTGATATCTTAATTAGTCCTTCTCTCCCCTTGTCAACCCCACTTCCTGTTATCATTTCCCTTTTCACCTCCTACGTCAACACAACTTGCCAGCATTGAGTACTCCAACCGGAAGTGACCATCGCCGTCTCGTTTCTTTGGATTAGTCTGTCTATTCCAATGTTGGCTAAATCATAATTTAGTTTTTTTTAAAGGTTCCGTTTTCATTGTCAGATGACAGGATCACTTTTGGGTTAACGGGTTAGGAAATTGGTTAAAAGGCTGAAATTGTTTTGAAAAAGTAGATTGATTCGCTATTATTTAACTTGTTAATTAAGGTTACTGGACGCTGTCTCTATCGCTCTCTGTCTGTCTGTCTGTCTGTCTGTCTGTCTGTCTGTCTGTCTGTCTGTCTCTCTCTCTCTCTCTCTATCTATCTATTTAACTATATTGCACTCGCGCATACGCATGTACTCACACAAACATACAAACATATTATACATATGCGCCTAGTGTAGTTTGACCGCTGAACATGGTTTTACCCCTGACTCCCCCCCCCCCACACCCCCGACAACAGATTCTACGTGCTAAGGTGGTCGCACCCACTACCTCAAAAAGTATTTTCTTTAAATCGAAGAAACCTTCTGTGTATGTGTATCTGTGTGTGTATATGTGTGTGTCTATAAGATACAATATAACCACAACTACTGTTTGTTATGGGACGGCGTAGTTGAACTCTACCTCACCTGCCCAAATGGATCACTAGGTCTAAAGAGGAACTTTCTGACATCTACGTTTGCTTATATCTTCTGTGTATGTGTATCTGTGAGCGTATGTGTGTGTGTGTGTCTATAAGATAAAATATAGCCACAACTACTGTTTTTTATGGGACGGCGTAGTTGAACTCTACCTCACCTGCCCAACTGGATCACTAGGTCTAAAGGGAAACTTTCTAACATTTACTTTTGCTTATAACTAAACCAGAGGCGCCAACTAGAGGCATCCATTTTGTAAACGTCCGTTTCATGATTTGAATTAGCTGATTAACTTAGGTTTTTTTTTATTTGCATGACAGCATGTATGTAGACATGTCATTTTTAATGAGGTCAAGGTCACGGAATTTGGGCAGACGCAGGTCGAAGATTTATATTTGTCAATTTGGCGGCTTCCGTCAGCGTTTGAATAAGCTGTTGAGAGGAGAAATTTTTTTTTGGGCGATTTGGGGGGGGGGGGGCAGTCGGTTGCGATTTATTTTTTTTAAATTTATATATATTTTTGTATCTAAATATAAGTCAGAATTGAAAAAAAAATTTTTTTTTAATTTTGTAAAATCATTTTGCCAGTTTTGATGCGTTTCACTATGGCTTGAAGATTGTCTATGTACAGAGACAATATATAATGAACATCACCGATGTTTACCTGTGTTCAACACTTCATATTCTGACCTTTCTGTGTTTTTTATTGCATTGTAATTTTAAAAATTGCAAGAAATAAATAAATGTAAACTGAATAAATTATAATAATATTTGTAGTTCCTACTATTGTAGTGATCAAAACAAGAAATGCTACTCAGAGGCGTCGCGAGGCGGGGACGGGGGTGCAGACCGCACCGAGTGACACCATTTATGGGGGGGGGGGTGACACCAGGACCAAAAAAAATGGCACGATATATATAGAATAAATATGTTTTTTTTTCGAGTTCAGTGGATGGTTAATTAGAGTTAAAAATTATTTTAAGTACATAATGACGATCTACAAAAGGGAGGGGAGGGTTGCGTCATTACGTAAAGATGCAAACTATAGAGAAAACAATGCCACATCCAACTGTAAAAAACACCATTAGTATTAAATGTGAACACTTCAAAGATTTTTTACCTGGCGGGGAGGGGGGGGGGTGTCAATAACTGCAAAATCTACAAAGAACAAAATGGGGGGGGGGTGACCCCATGAGATTCCGCACCGGGTGACACCCGACCTAGCGACGCCACTGATGCTAGTAATACCTCTAGCACTGTACCAATCGTTCAGTCTGGCAAGAAAGTCTTCTTCTTCTTCCTTCTTAATTGTACGGCTGGAACGGAATTCCCCAAACCTAAATTAACTATAACATGTCAACTTGCTATACGTTATACAGGTCTGTGATTCCGATTTCAGTCTCCTTTTTTTATTTTATTTGCTTTCATAGTATTTGTCCAACCAAGAACAAACTATAAGGCAGCAGTTTTTTTAATTTGAAAGTTTTCCTCTTCTAGATGAGATGTTGTCTCTAGCTAATTTATCGAGCCTCATCTGCCCGGGGTTAGAACTCAGGACTTTTAAGCTTAGCAGCTATGAGCTTAGCCAATCCAACTAAATCAACCAGTCTTCCCTTGAAAATTTTCATCTTAACAGGACGTTGGAGATCTATTAATAGAAACCACCCTCACACCTCTTTTATATTATGTTTTTTTATAATTGTATAATATTGTTTTTTTGTCGTTAATCTTGAGATGACAGTGCAATACTAAAGTGCTCCAAGTTTTTTTATAGATAGTATCTCCAGCCAAAGTTATTAATTTTTTAATTATTCCAAATTCATATATCAAAAACGTATTATTTGTTAGTCCGAAGAGATAAAAATAAAAATAAACTGTAACAAACTATTCAAGCTGGGTGACCTTCAACAGACGGAATAGAAAACTGAAATCAATTGACAATCTCAATTCTTATTTGGAGAAATTAAGTTGGCCGTTTCTTTTTTATTTACATTTTTTCCCCACTGATTTTAAAGCTAAATTGAAATCAGGCACATTGTGTTAGCTTTCCTGGCATTAAAAAAAAAAAAGGCCGCAGAAACTGGCTGCAATTGAACAACTCGGAATATAATGGCGTTTTTAAAAATACGGCCAGTCTTGTTCATGCGTCCTGGGGAATGACGTCATCGATTTGCGTGCACAGATTTCATTGAAATTAGTTCCCCGCTGTTCACGTTGAAGGCAGTTCGTGTGTGTTAGTGTGTGTGAGTGTGTGTTTGCATGTATGTTTGTGATAAAAACAGAACATCATACTGTATATACTAATCGAAAATTTTTCCTAAAGATACAAATGTCGGACAGTTCTATTTTTGATTTAAATTTAATCTAAAAACATTAACTGACCCGTGTTTGGAAATAATTCGTATTTTTCCCCCCGTTATTTAATACAAAACCTTTCAACTTGTTTTTAAAGTTTAGTTTTGCGGAAAGACTTGTTTTTAATTTAGCTCCCTGCACTACAAAACGAGAAACAGCATCCAATCGTATGATTTTGCCAATAGGTATTGCTTCAAGAGGCGTTTTCATAAAGCAAACAGGGGCGTTGCGACTATTTCGGTTCCCGTGGCAAACTATAACTATTGCCCCTCCCCCCTCCCCACAACATAGATATAGTTTTTCACATTTTCAATAAAAGCGCCTCATCCGTTTGGAAAATTTAAGGACGCTTTTTATCCTTCACTGTCCTTTAACAATTTGTATTTTGGTGTCACAATATTGATGACAAAAAAATAGTTAAATAAGTCCTTAACGCAGAATATGAGCACATATTCTTAACTTTTACTGTGTATACTACAATAATGCTAATCAGAATGAGATTTAATTTCTTTAACTCTACCTCGTTTGGCGCCCCCCACCCCCTTATAGTCGGCGCCCCTATTGGCCACCCACCCGCCCTCTCTTGGCTACGTCTCTGAAATCAAGCGCCCCACAACACATCACCTACAAACAGACAGCTCAACAAAAGTGACCCAGATCTATAAGAGTATTCGGGGTGAGTAAGCTTGAAAAGGTCCTTCGTTACACTTTTAGTAGGAGGGTGGGGGGGGGAGGTGAAGGGGGGGGGTCGACT